ATGGTATGTATCGCTACTGCTGTGTGTAGAGGCTATCCATCTCTTGACCGGCAGCAACGCTGAAGAGCCGTTTGGCATGGGACGTGTCTGAACTTGAGGGACTACATATGTCTTTTGGTGTTGGTGCAGGTGAGGACATATGCGACGGTGGCAGCGGGTTGCGAACCCCAGACACTCCGTTTGGTAGAGATTGTCTGTGGTTTGGACGAAAGAACAACAACACGCTTTCGCGGGTGGATTTGAATCATTGAGAGATGGGAGTAGGATGCAGCTGTACCAGGCGGGGGCGGGAGCGCCAGAGAGGTGCCACTTGCATGCAAAGAGGTGTCGTGTACCGTACGCCACAGTGTCACATGTGTAGTCGCGTCCAAACATATCGAAGTCCCAACCGACGCTTGACCATGCACCATGAGACACCATGACATCTACATGTACTGTAGGGCAGCAGCATAGATAGCATTGCACATTCTTACTCGAAGATATGCATACTGCCGCTTGAAGCAGGCAGAAATTTTGTTCCTGCAGTTGAGCGTGCCTTGATCATATTAGTACAACGACCTGCTGCTGTGGATCTTTTTTGATGTCCTCCAATCGCTCAGTCCTGCTGCTATCCGTCTTTCCCTGCCCGACGAAACGGAGAGATCCCTCCTGCAACACGATTACACATATACACATATACACATAGACTGCTGTATCAGGTATCGAGAAAGCTATTAAAAAAAGACACCAGAAGGCTACTGTCATGCATGTAGTGTGTAGATGTATCAAGGAGTAGACTGTGGCCGATCTTGCAGTTTCCGTCATCCCTACATCGTCTATATAGTCTGAGGTGACCCGTTTTTTTTTTCAGACGAACTTGCAGCCTAACTACTTGTAATGTAATGTAGTCTATAACAGCAGCCCTGAACACTGACACAACGACGACGCACCAGTAGTATGCTTGAGAGAACACAACCAATAGCATTGTTTGTGGTGGCGGGCGTCTGGGCAGAAACAACAAAAGCCGCTATGCCCGACAACGCCGTGGCGATTACAGACAACTCCAATACCAACGCTGGTACGAAAACACCTTTTACGGCGGCGGAGACGATGACAGCGACCGTCGTGACGACTACCGGTGCGACAACACAGAAGAACGGGCATGCAACACCCGCTACTTATTTTACTGCGGCAGGCAGTGTCTCTACGGCAGAGGGAACGACAGCGATGGCGACGCCGGCGGCACCGGAAACAGACGGCGCGAAACAAGCGAAGATCGTGTTCGTCGTGCCCGAGCAGACCCCTCCCGCCGTGAGGTTTGTACTAGGGAGGAGGCGTGGGTGGACGGAGTGGAACGCTGAGGTGCATGGCGTCGACGAGGTATGTTAAGCGTTTCGCTTAACCACAACAAACCCGTTCGCGTTAGGTCGTCATGATGGTTCTCCAGTCGATTTCAACCACCAACCCCTTACCGACATATTTCACTCTGGGCGCCTCATAAAGATGCCAATGTTGGTTGTCGTAAGATGGTGGCAGCAATAGAGTCGACCTCGGTTATTTTGAACAAACACGAAAGGCAGAACTAGTCACTACAGTAGTGACTGTGTCATCTACAAAACCCACCGCCCGAAAAAAGCATCACATCTATCACCATCTACTGTAAAACAACGACGACAACGGCAGAGGTGGTGCCTCACGACGCCTCTCTTTGTCTTGGGGCGCTGCAGTGGAACTTCCAGTGGAGGTCGGGACGCTTCAAGCCTTCCGAGTACCGGGACGTCAGGGAAGAGCAGCGACTTAACCACTTCCCCCGTTCGGCACTCATCACAAGGCTAGTCGATTCGTTTTTGCAACGAAGCGTCCAATGTTGTTGTCGAACTCGGGGAGCGTTTGCGACTGTTGCCCAGCATTGCCGGAGGAAGAGTAGCAGAAGTAATGTACAAAGTAGCACGCTAATGAAACACGGAACTGTACTGCCCGCGGCAGGAGGCGATGGCAAGGATACTAAACTCCACTTTGACGAATGCCGTCGACTCTTCAGCCACCACGGACCTGTCTTGATCGCTTCATACTGAAACAATTTGGCTGTTTACGAACTGTGGTGTTGTGTGCTCCCTTCGCATTGTCCCCTTGTCCACGGTGTTTATGTGCGCGCAGAAAGGATTTGTTGCTGCGGGTTCTCCGCAAGATGAAAGCAGTCCACGGGGAGGTGTACGCCTTCCACCCGGACAGCTACCTGCTGCCGACGGAGTACACGAAGTTCATCAACACCTTCACTCGGCTCAAACCGGTGATACGACAATTGCGAATTGGTTCAAAGTTTGCGTGGCAATTAGCAACGACACGGCACTACGGCCAGTCTTCAGGGATAGAAATCGTGCCAGAGCAGGGGGGGGCGTTGCCACCAAGGAGCGCACATTCCTGCGGATGTGATTCCGTCAATGTATCGTGCCACGTGCATCTCGATTACGATGATATTGCTAAAACAGAGGCGAAAGCATCGACATGGACGCGCACGGTATAAAGCCCCAGCTTTCTGAGGATGCGAGATGAAATGTCAAACAAAAACGGAGTATATATCCATGAACGTACACCCTCCCCTCCCCACGCCCGCCCTCCCTGCTGGAACCGGCGCGGTGTGGTCATGTTTGCCGCCGTACCGCCAGGGGTCTAGGAGAGGAGCCAAAGCCGTGGAGAGGAGCGGAGCATTTTCTGCCGCTTCCCCCGGTGAAGCTACGGCGGAGAGTTCCACGGGAAAGAACTGCCGGCACGGTACGGCAAAGCGCATTCCTCTGTTCTCGTCGCGAATGACGCCAATTAGCCCCCCCCCCCCCTCCCCGTGAATGGGGGGCGAGTAAAACATGTTGTGGGGGGGGGAAAACCCTCACTCCCCGCAAGGGGGAAGA